TGGTGCTCTGGGCAGCTCTGCACCAGTGTTCTTCAGGAAGGTAGAGGCACGGTGGTTACCTCACCTACATCTATGAATACAGGAACTAGAAATGTCAGCACTGCGCTTTCATAAAAGCCAAGTGTTCTTTCAAAGGCAGGCCATGAGACTCGGTGAGCTTATTTAGAGGCTGTTGTTCCTGTTGTTGGAGTACATAGGCCTTCAGTGGACTCGTGGGTGGGTTTTGATGTGTGTGTACGTGTCATCAGTATCCCGGAACCAGGCAGAATGTGCAGAGAACTTGCTGTCAGCCCTCTGCCCCAGACAACAGCTCCTCTGTTGTTCCCTGACCCATGTGAATGCTTTGGTCCACATTTCTGCCATATAGCAGTGGATTCATTCCTTTTTGTATCTCGTGTACCTAGACGGCTTATTGTCCCTTGTTCATCCCTGAGTGGGCCTTTGGACTCCGAGTGTGTTTTATTGGCTGTTGGAGGGATAAAGTTGGTGAACATATTCCATTCCTCTGGAGTAACTACCTATGAGATCGAGAGGAGGGATGCACACGTGATTGCTGAGTTGTTTTCCCCAGTGTTGTAATTTTTACTCTCCCACCAATAGTGTTCATGAGTTGCTATTGTTTATCTCGTTTCCAAAATTTGTTCTCAGTCCGTCTTACCCCATCATTCCAGAGGACACTAAATGCATTTAATGTGATGTTAGTTAGACTTTCAAGGATTGCTAATGATATTGAATATTCTTCTCGTGTGTTCATTGGCTGGCTGTATCCTTTTTCTTGTGACATGTCTGTTAGGCCTACTTTTTATTGAACTCCATTTATATTATTCACTGTTGATGCAGAAGATTTGTTCTTGAATTTAATGTTCCCGAAAGTCTCTTGCCAGAGTACTTTGATCATCTTAAAAAAAAAAAAGAAAGAAAGATGTAATGTGCCTCCAATGGAGTATCTTGGTGCCAATGGAGTATCTTGGTGCCAATGGAGTATCTTGGTGCCTCTGTTTAAATAGTTTCCTTAGACTTATTGTCATTTCACTTCATGGAAAGTGGAGAGCAGTAACAGCAGCTCGATTCCAGTTACGCTCTGTCCTCTGTGTCATAAAGTTTATGTCTACACATAACCTATGTTTTGGGACATCCACATTAGAAGGAGTCCGTTTATCTTCTCTAATACTTACATTTTAGAGACATAAAGAGGAGAAGCCAGTGGTCTTTTTAAATTATGCACACAGTTACCCTTCTAGGAACTTTTCACTATATCTCAGAAAACCGAAATCTGTCTGGTACATTTATCTGCAGCTGTGGATCTTTGAAGAGTTCTCGTAATGCAATTCTATTTCTGGGTAGTTTATCTTAGCGCGCGCGCTCTCTCTCTTCATATATGCAAGATATGGAAGTGTTTTTATTCATTCTCATGTTTGAAGTATGTTTTCATTGGATATAGACTTCTGAAATGAGAGGTTGTTTGGCCATTCAAACGTATCATTTCTGTATATAATATAACATATCTAATTACATCATATGTCATTCTCACAGCATTCACTATGTCTTGTGATTTCCATTTTTGTAAGAAACCAGCCACTTTTTTGTAAGATTTTCCCACAATATGTATGGTGTATTTGTACCCTCTGACTGCTTTGTGTACTTAAAGATTTCTAGTCTATCTGAGAGGAACAGAGAATGAGAAGCAGAAAGGGAGGGGCAGAAAAAGAGAACATTCTTCCATTCGTTGGTTTTCTTTCTAGATTCCTGTAACAGCCTCAGCTGTGAGTGAAGCCAGAAGCTCAGTCTGGAGGCCCTCACGTATTTGGCAGGATCCTGTTATTTGAGTCATCAGCAGTGCCACGCAGGGTCTGCAATAGCAGGAATCTGGAGTTAGGAGCAAAGCCAGATTATCTGTGCTGGGATGAAGACATCCTTACTGCTAGGTCAGATGCCAGACTCAGAATGCTTTTCGTATACTGTCTTTTTTAAATTTTAATTTTAAATTTATTTTATAATACAATTCCATAGGCTGCCCCCCTTCCCCTGCTGCCCAATGATCTTTGATTTGGGAGTAGAGATGTGTACTGCATTGTATCCTCACATCTGGATATGATAGTCTCTATTACACAGTTCCCTTCAATGAAAAGTCATAAAATAAAATCAACTACAGGAATACATTTAAAAAAATTTACAGCACTATGGAACTAAATAACATGCTACTAAATAACCAATGTATCAATGAAGAAATGAAAAAGCAAAAAAAAAAAAAAAGAAAAAGAAAAACTTCTTGGAGAAAATCATAGACGTATGATCTATAAGTCAAGGAAGAATTTCAAATGAGAAAAGAAACTATTTTGAAGAAATGAAAATAAAAGCAAAAATATCAAAGCCCCTGAGATGTAGCAAAAACAGTATTGAAAGGGCTATTGAGCTTATATTTTGCATGAAGGTTGCCTTATATCAGAGAGAGCATACGATATTCGTCTTTCTGGGATTGACATTTCGCTGAGCATAATGATCTCTAGTTGGGACCATTTGGTTGCAGATGGTAGAATTTCATTCTTTTTAATGACTGAATAGTATTCCGTGGAGTAGATGTATCACAGTTTCTTTATCCATGCTTCCTTGGACAGGCATCTGGGTCGTTTCCGTGTCTTTGCTGTTGTAGGCTGTGCTGCTGTAAATATAGGATTACAGATCACTTTCTCATATGCTGATCTCATTTCCTTTGGATATATTCCCAGAAGTGAGATAGCTGGACCATATGGTAGGTTTATTTTAATGTCTTTTTCTAAAAAGAAATATTTATTTATTTGCTTCAATCTGCTGACTCCTGCTGTACTATCATGCTGGCCTGTAAGCTATCTCTTTCTCCTGTGAGTTTTCAGAAGTTTAATGGTGAGATGCTATTGTGTGGTTTTCTTTGTATTTATTCTTCTTGAGATTTAGCAAGTGTCTTAAATCTCCAAGTTAATTCTCCATCGATTTTTTTGTTGGGATTTCTTTTCTTGTGGTCCCCTTCTCTCTCCTTTCCCTCTAGGAATCTAGGATGCTTTGATACCATCCCACAAGTTACTGAGGTTCTGTTCAACGTTTTTCTTTTTATAAAAATGACTTTATTAAATGTTATTGGAAGAATTAAATGCTTCACTCCATAAATGTCTGCAATAGCAAGGGCTAGGCTACACTATAAACAAGAGCCCAGAACTGAAGTGAACATCACAGGAGTGACAGGGACCCAGTCCTTGACGCATCTCTTGCTGCCACCGAGGCTGTGCATTTACAGGAAGCTGGAACTGGAGATGGAAGTGGGACTCAAACCTGACCCTCCAGTACGTGATGTGTATGTCCCAAACAGGGCCCTAACCTCTTTGATATTCTTCACTGTTCTTCAGTTAATACTAACTTCTATTATGTGTCTCCAGATTCACTAGCCCTTTTTAACAGCAGCTAATCTGCTGATAATCCCGTGCAGTGAATGTGTTTATTTCAAAAACTTTACTCTTCATTTCTGGAGTTTCGATTGATTTTTTTTTTTTTTTCAGTTGAGTGTCAAGTTCATTGGGTGTTACCCATTTATAGCAGCTCCTTTAATACCCTCATCCTGTTTTAACATTGGCTGCCTTTTACTGAATGTAGGCTGTGTTTTCATCTTCTTCACACATCTTTATTCTGTGCTGGACATGGTGTCTGCAAGGACTCTTGCCAGCTTCCTCTAAAGTGTTTTTCCGGCAGGGGTTGAACTTTTGGACAGACCTTTGATCCTGTCAGACTGCATTGTATATTTTATTTGAATTGACCTGTTTTGGTGTCTGTTCTTCTGACGACATGGCCTTTTTGGCTTGTCACCTGCATAGTGCAGTGAGTTTAGGCCTGTGTTGAGTATGGCCATGAATCCCTCCAACCTCATGTGCCAGGCTCCATGCCCATCTCCATCACTGCAGGCCTAGAGTTTCCCTACATTGTTGAGAAAAGGGGAGAATGGCAGGGATCTGTGTGTTCAGGATGGGTAACGAGGCATCTCAAGGACAAAGATGGAAACAGTGATAGACTTGCCAGTGTTTGGAGATAGAACTGATTTTTAAGGGGCCTTTTGAAAATCCACATCTTGCCCCATGTTTGGCATTCCTGTATTCTGCCTGCCTTGCAGAGTTGATACCTGAGGTGTCCTAGATGGAGGCTTAGTTTAGGAGATGGACAACGGGGCAGAAGCTAGAAGAGGCAGTGGCATCCTCTGGGGCCCTAGCACTGGAGACGGACCTTGTTGTTTCCAGACAACTACAGTCTCTCATCTCCTTGTTAGGGGTTCTTGGAGCAGATTCCTGAGGGGCTAGTTTCATAAGGGAACCTACACCTGCTGTAATCTCTAGGTGTCTTCAGAATTTGCTGGTCACTTACAAATAAACTCTCAGGCCCAACTTGTGTCCTAAAGGTTATCACTTCAGAAACAGGGCTCATTATCATGTGGCCTGAGTTATGCTAAGGCTGTTACCTATGATCTGTACAGAAACAAGAAGGGAGGAACAGAAAGCAGAGAAAGACAAAGATGAGGGAAATACTGGCTGCCCATTTTTATAGTGTCATTTGTCCCTTTGTGTGTATTTTCTTTCTTGTTCACAAATGAGAAGCAAAGATTTGATTATCCTCTGTATAGCACAGACTGAGATGAATTGATGAGCCCTTCTCTTTTTCCCAAGCTATGTTTAGCATGGTCCAGACACCTCAGTTTCTGTCCTCTAATCAGGCTAATGCTTTTGTTCTTCCTTTCCTGTGATCTTCCACAGGAACTTGCTGAAAATGAACTTGCTGAAAATCTTGGACTATGGTAATGACTAGTGGGTCACATGTGACTTGTGATGCAGATCCAACCAAGCAGGTGTCTATTGAGTGGCACCCATGTCCTGCTTGGGCAGGAAGTTGCCTTGGAAGGTCTTGGCCTGTGCGTTGCATCCTTGTGTTTCCTTGGAATATACTAACCCCCAACTTCCATGTGTTCCTTTTTTGTGTGTGTTTTCTAGAAGTCCTCCAGAATCTGCTGAAGGATCTGAGGAAGCAGCAAGCAGATGTGGACAGCCTGAGCTCCCTGGAGCTGGATGAGATGGCACACGTGATTGCCAGTGCAATACAAGGTGGGGATGCAGGAGGAGGCCAGGCTACCCGTGGAAGAGGAGCTGGAGGAGAGCCGAGAGGGCAGGTGGACAGCCCCGCAGCCATGCTCCAAGGTGACCTCCGGACCTTTGGACCATTTGATTTTTGGGGGTCAGTAATGAGGGGAGCAGATGAGCTACAGTGCTGTGGAGAAAGACCTGCAGCTCACTGCATTGTAATGGATTCCTTCTGGTGGGGACATGGGAATTTGTATTAATGATTTTTATCTGTTTGAACTTTTGCCTCTAAAAGCTTTCTTAACAGACCAAGCCTGCCAGAGCAATTATGCTGAATGGCAAATTGCTGTCTGCGAGGATGTGTAATTCTTCTGTGTTGAGGTTCAGATGTCTCAAAAAAAGAAAAAAATAGAAACGATGGAAAATGTTTTTGTTTGGATTATATGAATGAATATTGCCAGGCACTTGAATGATACATTAAAAAGGGTTTTGGGGATGTTGGAGTCCACCCTCTGAGACTGCTGAGGAAAGCAGAAAAAGTTGCTCCCCCATACCGGTGCTGCCCTCGTGGACAGCCATGACCTTGCAGAGGCTGGGACTCAAGTCAGTCTCCTGACCATGGACCTTCCCTGTGGCCTGATTGCTACTCAGAGTTCTTGGAGCTACATGAAAGCATCTACTTCAGTGCCTTGCATTTGGCAGGCTGGAAAGCAAGTGAAAGATGCATCCCTTGCTCCCCGTTGGATGCTGGGAGCCTGACTGGACTGATGAATTGGACACAGGAATAGATAGTGGCCCTGGTTCAGGACAAGGCGCTGTGCCAGCCAGTCAGCCGACAATGAAAAGGAGTGATGCCTGCACCAGCACCAGGAGGGAGGGCAGTGAAAGGTCCTCCAGGCAAACTGGCAGTAAGGCATGCATCTTTGGGCATTGTGGATAGGATGTTCATGGAGGGAGAAACATGTACCACAAGGAAACCGCTTCACTGAGTGGGTTCTGAAGCCACCTTAATGGTGCGATGGTTTGGGTTAAACACTGGACTTTACTGGCTTGTAATAATGAACTGCTGCCAGGCACGATGGATTTTTCGTGCTGTGAAGCTAGCACTGAAGATAAGACATAGATGCACAGATCTGAGAAACACAATTTACGACTCACTTCGTGTCTGTCCTGCTGCTAGTAAGCCCTCTTCTCTCACATGATGAAAATAGAGCACTGTTTTGTACTACGAATAGAAAAGGTTTATTTTATGGTAGAAATGAGGCCAACATCATCACACCTCATCTTGTGTAAAGAAGAGATTCTTTGTGGTTATCTTTCTACATGCTGTGACACATGCTCGTGAGCATATTCTGAACCAGGATTTTGATAACGTTCCTGCCTTTTGCAGATAACAGAGCCCACGGTGACGATGATGATGAAAGAGCTTACCAAGAGGTAAGATGGGATGTCTCTGGGTATTTCGTTCGCATTAAACCTAGAACTATATTGATCATCTTTTTGTTAATAATTTGGGAACACTGATATGATGCAAAGTGTATTTTTTTTTCTTTCTAGAAAAATATAGCCAAAAAAAAAAGCCTCATAATTTCCAAATTGAGAAACAGTACAAAATTCTATTTGCTTGGACAGTAAATTCTGATAGGAAAATATAAACTGGTATTTGCCTATTGTAGGCACATGGAAAATCTCGGCAGTGCAAAGAGGAATGTTAGATATTTCCTAGACTTCTCTCACCAAGGGATAGGGAGTGTTAACTCCATTTGCCATTTTTGCAAACTTGATGTTGTGCTGATCCAAGGCTCATTTCCTATGTGGACATACACTGGCTCTAACTCATTTAGACCCACTTTGTCCTTTGTGGTAGCTGCTAGCCCTGTAGGGCTATTGAGGCCAAAATTCAAATGACTTTGTGTTTTAAAAAAGTATATATCTGGGCTAGTGTGTGATGGCTGTACTAGCTAATCCTCCAACTACAAGTGCTAACATCAGATCAGCTCAGCTCAGGCTGTTACGGCCACTTGGGGAGTGAATCAGCAGACAGAAGATCTTCCTCTCTGTCTCTCCTCCTCTCTGTATATCTGACTTCCCAATAAAAATAAGTCAATCTTTAAAAAAAAATAGGGGAAGTTAGATATGGTTCTTTAATTGTGGCCAAGATAGCAATATGAGGTGCTAATGGAAGAAATAAGATTAGAAGTATACTGCTTTGTAATACCTCCTCACATTTTTGTTTTGTTTTGTTGATTTAAAACTATTCTAAAATAAAATGTTAAGATTTCCCCATTGAAGGAGTGTAAGACTTGCTAGCCACTTGTTTCAAAAAGTTGCCTTTGTGGGCCCAGTGGCGTAGCCTAGCAGCTAAAGTCCTCGCCTTGAACGCACCGGGATCCCATATGGGCTCTGGTTCTAATCCCGGCAGCTCCACTTCCCATCCAGCTCCCTGCTTGTGGCCTGGGAAAGCAGTCGAGGATGGCCCAATGCTTTGGGACCCTTCACCCGTGTGGGATACCCAGAAGAAGTTCCTGGATCCTGGCTTCGGATTGGCATAGCATCGGCCTTTGCAGTCAGTTGGGGAGTGAATCATTGGAGGGAAGATCTTCCTCTCTGTCTCTCCTCCTCTCTGTATATCTGACTTTCCAATAAATAAATCAAAATCTTAAAAAAAAAATAGTTGCCTTTGGGATGCCTTGCTATGTGCCAGGGGAGCCACTAGGTGTTGGTGTTGGGCATCTGTGAGCAGCAGAATGGCCTCATGATGAAGGCAGCATCTTTGACGTCAGACAGGTCCAAGGTCAAATTCTGGGCTTGCCAAACACCACCTCTGTGTTCTTGTGTAGTAAGTTTGTGTTTGACTATGATTTAGTCTATGATTTAGGCATGAAGTAATGTTGTGTTTGACTCCTATCAGCCCGAGAGTCTATGATTTAGGCATGAAACTAGTATTTTGTCCATAAAGACAGGATAATCGTTGGATGGGATAATTTTCACAAAGCAAATTAGTGCTTGGTATGTAATCAACGCAGGATGTTGTAATTACAATATTCATTAGTTTGGATTTCAGCAGAGTCAGTCTCAGGAACTTCTTGTCCAAAAAGTGGAGCTCAGGATGGAGTGTGTCTTAGCCACATGGAGACTAGAGATCCCCCGATTGTGTGGTGATAGAATGCACGGATATTTCCCTATGACATGCCACTCATAGATTAGACTTGCTGTGCCTCAGTTTCCCCCTCTGTGAAAAGGGGTTGATGGTGATTTCTGGTGCATAGAGTTTTCAAGAAAACTCTTTAAGCTTGTTTATATGAAGTATTTGGTACATGTCTTTGTAAAGATTCAGCAAATGCAAATTGTTGGATTAATTATTATTAAGTGTTTTTTGCTTGTAGTCTTGATAACACTTATTTTTTTAAAAATATAGATATCAAAGGTCACTGATGATTGTATGAGATCTTGTATGAGGGTGTGTGTGTGTGTGTGTGTGTGTGTGTGTGTGTGTGTGAAAGAGAGTCATAAGTAAGTGATTCAGACACACACTGCCCTCCTCTTCTAATTCGTTGGAAATTTCTCATTTATACTTAATTCTAAATTTAGGTTATCTTTATTAATCGTTTTGATTCCAAGCTGCCTATACACATGATTTTCCTGAAGCTATCTCTTTAGTTGTGATGTTAGTCATCCTTTTCTCGGCGGTGTCATCTCATGGAATTTTTGTCCCACTAGGTCAATCGTTTGAGTGTCAAACTCGGTGACCTGTTGCAGGACCATGGATCTCAACTTGCTCCTGGAAGTCCCACCCTTGCGAAGCCATTCAAAACAGAGATGAAGAAATCAGAGGAGCCTGAGGCTTCCCTGTCTTCCGAAGAGGAGAATGCTGGGGTGGAAGATGTGAAAAGCCAGACTTACTCCAAAGACCTGCTCGAGATGCCGTATTCAGAACCCAGGCTTAGGCTCGAGGAGCCCCCAGACTGGACCCAAGGGCCTGTGAAGGAGGAGCAGAGTCTCCCAACCAGAGTGCGAGGACCCGCCAGTGACACTTTGCAGCTGGAGGTCAAGTCCTCAGAGGAAGACGAGTATGGCTACGTGGTGACGCAACACGAGTGAGTAGGAATTCTGCATTGAATCTCCTGATGACCTTAAATCCTTGCAGTGGGGGCAGGAAGGGGAGGGAAGGTTACTGTAAGGACACACTCTTATTCTTGGATGACTTTAACCAAAAATACCTGATGGGAACTTCCGGAGTCTCAGGTAGAGAAGGCAACTTGGAGCTCATCAGAAATCCCACTGCCCCACCTCCGCCAACCCCGACCCCCTCCCTGGTGATCCTGAACTGGACTTCAAGCTCAAAAGAAGGTTCCTGAGGGGCATTTAAAGCAAACTCAGACCAGGACAGACCAGACCAAAGCAAGCTCTTCCTGTGCTCTTTGGTCTTGTCCTCAACTGCTTTCCTTTCAAGGAGGCAGGTAGGGCTGAGATTTGCCCTTGAATGGCTTCTAGGGACAACTGTGTGTAGCGAAGTGGCGCATCTCAGGCAGGAAGGGGTTGTGCATGTCTGCAGATCTGTGCTGATTGTGTGTCTGTTAAAAGTTTAAAAGCTTTGTCTCCTTACATCAAAGTCGTACAAATATCAGGATATGACTCATCCTTCAGAGGGAGAAGCAAGCTTCCTGGCAACAGAGTGTTCTTCTCTCTCATTTTGATCTGAAGTTAATAAGGGAAAGAATTCAAACATGATGTACCCTACAAGTTACAAATGGCCCGTCCCTTTTCTTGGGTCATCTCACTAATGAATCTGACATTTGATGCCATGCTTTGTGAAACCATGGTAATTTCCTCAAGGCATGGGAGCCATATTTCAAGGAGAAGAGACTATCCGGCTGGCCTTATGAGCTCATGTGTGCACATGTGTATGTGGTTGTGTATAAGTAAGAATTTTGCACCTCGGTTATGATGCACATTTTCTTGAGCAGTTATTCCTGAGACGCAAAGTCTGCTGTGTTTCAGTGGTTACTCCCGGGGAACTCACAGCTCTCAACAAAACCCAATCTCTGACTCAGGCTAGTGGTTGCTGCACTGGGGACATCCCGTTTCATCAACAAGCGATAGTTTTAGAAATGGTTTGTCCTGCTCTCAAACCACAGACTGTGTGTCAAAAACAAATTAAAGTATAAGACTTTAAAGGTAATGATGGTCTTGTGTTCTGGGATAAGTTGTCAGTAGCTGGCACTTCAAGCTGACATCGGAATATGAACTCAGTTTTTCCCACAGCACGTTCCTCATTAGGCAGAGTCCACTCATTTCTCACCCCTGCTCAGATGGTGTGCTCTGTGGTGCTGTCCCTGTGCTAAACTCCTGGAGGGTGATTGCATCTTTCTGGTTGGGTTGTAGACAAGCACAGCAGGAATGCGGCTATGGCACAGATGGGAGACCTGTTGACTTATCCTGAGCACAAACCACAGTTGTCACCTGTTGTTATCAATAATGAGATGCTGTGTTGTGGGCTTTTCCCTTCTCTAGTGAACGTGTGTGTGTGGCGTATAGAGTGTAGGGTGTGGACATCTGTGTACATGGTCTGACATGTGTTAAGTCTGTGTGTCAGGCCTATGGTATCAGGTGTGCTGTGTATAGATGATGTGTGTGATATATGTTATGTGTTGTGTGGTTTGTGTGGGATGTAAATGTTATATGCTGTGTTATGTGTAATCTGTATGTTGGTTATTGTGTGTGCTGAGTATGTGGTGTATTTTCATGTGTGCTGTATGCAATGTAGGATGTGTTATGTCCGTTACATGTGTATGTTGTGCTAGTATTGTGTATATTTTGTACACTGTGGCATTGTATGTGCTGTGATGTATTGTTTGTGTTTTGTATGTATGCTTGAGCGTTGTGCTTTGTGGAGTTGTGAGTTGTAGGTTATGTGTGGTTTATGTGTAGCGTATCTTCATTTGTGGCTAAACTTCATGTGTGTGTTCTGGTATATATGTATTATAGGTGTTGTGTCTACTGTGTCTGTGTTCTATACACATGCTGTATATCTGTGGTGGGTTACACATGCACATTGTGTATTAAGTGCTTGTGTTGTTTTGGGTACAGTGAGTGTGGTCTCCCGTGGGGCTGCCTCTTACACTCTCCATTGCCCACACAAGGCCTCAATTCCCCTTGAAAGCAGATGCTGCCCCTTCTGTGTTGCAACTCTGGGGCTCAGTTTATCACACAGGAGAGATGAGAAGTGAAAAACGTGTTCTGATCTGTTTTGCAAAGATCTACTAATTTATTTGAAAGTCAGAGCTTCAGAGAGAAGGAGAGACATGGAGATTTTCTGTCTGCGCATGCACTCTCCAGGTGACCACAATGGCCAGCTCTGCTAAGCCAGGCTAACAGAGAGGAGTTTCTTCTAGGACTACTATGTGGATTATAGGGACCCAAGGACGCAGGCCAGCCTCCACTGCCTTTCTCAAGCTTTTAGCAGGAAGCTGGGTCAGAAATTGGTGCAGCCAGGACACCAATTGGTACCCATAAGGGATGTTGTCATTACAGATGGCATTTTTAGCTGCTATGCCACAAAACAAACTTCCTCTGGCCATTTTAAAGAATTCAAAATAGTGACCTTGATGTCAGACTGGAGAGTGACAGGTGGCTTGTGTAGTCTGTCTGAGAACCTTTCAGAAAAAAACAGTCTATACTAATCCATTGCTAACTGCAAGCAGTTAAAGAAAAAAAAAAGCATGTTATGTTATCTTCGCTGGTTTTTCCTTTTTTTCCATTGTTGCTTTAACTGGATGAGATACCTGGTGAAGATAATGTAGCATTGTATTGATAATTCTCACTGTCTTTTGCAAAGCAGAATGTACTGGAAGATTACGTTTCCCTCTCTTCCACAGAGAGATGGAGGAATGTGTACCTGTTATCAGATTAATCGATGATTTCTCATTCTCAGGAGCGAGCTTTCCTTGCACCCCGGCTTAGACTTTAATAGGTCAGCTATTAATTTACTAGAAGCAGATTCTTTGTTTGTCCTGTGAAGAGGAGGAGGCTCAGGCTTGTCACTGGTGTTGTCAGCCACAGAGGCTGTTTTTGCTGATGTCCATAGTACTGTGGCTTAACCTGGCCAGGCTTTGTTATCTGACAGAGAGGGTAATCCTTTGCCATTCATGCATTTATCCTCTCTACAAATTAAATAGATTATTCATGAGTTGAGGGAAGATAGGATATCTACCTTCAGCCCCCCAAGGATGATTCTGAAATTATTTTGTATTAGGAAGAAATCACAGGATGGATGTTGAGTTTTGGAGCAAACATACATGTCTTCCGTATACGAGACCTACACAGATGCACCTTTCTTTGCTTAACCAAGAAGTCCCCTTTTAAAGGGTGTGTTGTTTTTACTTGAAAGACATTTTTCAGAGGGAGGAGAGACACACACACATACACATAACAGAGAGAGACAGAGAGACAGACAGAGAGACAGAGAGTTTGAGATTCCATCCCCAAACGACTGTAATGGCCATAGCCAAGCTGATCTTAAATCAGGAACCAGAAATTTCTTCCAAGTCTTTCACATAGGTGCAGGGGCCTAAGCAGCTCTCCACCACTCTCCCAGGTTGTAAACAGGGAGCTTAATTGGAAGTGGAACAGCCTGGATGAGAGCCTATTTGGGATGCCAGTGCTGTGTGTGAAGGATTAACATGCCAGCCCCAAGGGGGGTATATTTCTAGACAAGGGTAATTTTGAATCAATGATAATGACTTCTTAGACGCAATATTCGTGTCCTCTAAGTATGGAAGTTAGAAGTGGAAGGAATGTGTTGTGTATTTGATATCAGAGAAGAGAAAAAATAATCACGTTGGAGAAGATCCTACATTGCCCTAGGGACAGAGCTGGCACAGCAGGTTGTGCAGGGAGAAAGGGCAACGCATCAACTGGTCAGGATTCCTTATGAACCCCTCCACCCTTCAGTGAAGTGCTTGGGATTCCCTCTGTATACTTTGAGGATGCCACTGAAACCCAGCTGCCAGGGCCATGGCTGTCTCCTCTGTGTTTGACGCTGCCCCATCTTGAAAGCAGAAGCAGCGGTGCCACCTCCCAGGATTTCTGGGGAGAGTGAAGGCCTGTGATGCTGTACCAGAGCCCAAGGTGTGGCCGAGAAACAGCCTTTGCCCATGGGCAGAGGACAAAGAGAGCACAGTTCCCCTACAGAAGAGGACTAAACAGACATCCACAGGAGAGGGATTGGGGAAGATGGAAGTGCTGAGCTCTCAGGGAAATGGTGACTGAGATGACCTCATCTGCCTCGGTGGCTTCCTGATGCTCCTAAGGCAGAGTTGATAGCTGTTTTTCTTCTTTCAGTGGTTCGTAGCGACAAAACCTTCTTCCACTGGAGAAGCCAGATGGTGAGGTTGCCAGTGGCATTTCCTTTCTCATGAGTATGTAGGTACTCAGGGCCTGACTAACTTTTTGAGCTCTTGTGTTCTGACAGTACTGCTGTGCATGAAGCCTGGAGACTGACATGAGGATGAGAGGGAGGATAACCTGCTTGTGCTCCCTCATTCTAAGTTAAAACCCAGCTCCAACGTACTTGTCTCTCCTGGGAGCCAGTGCATAGCAGGAGAGATGATGAGAAAGACTCTAACCCTGGCCCCACCCCTTAGGGTTGCAGCAGCTGAACCTGGGCTGTGGAGCCTGTCCTGCCCTGGTGCACGTGGCAGTCAAAGAGAAGGACAGATGTGAACCTCTGTGAAAGAAGAAGTGGGTGTAGATGGAAATCCTATCTGTGGTTTTCTGTGTTAACATCCTTGGGTGATCCGAAAGAAACCTTTGGGTATTGTGGATGGCTTCTCTGCATTGTGTGTTTCTGGTGCTTGGTAGAATCCCAGATGATGTGTCTGTTTTCTTAGAAAGCACAGCGATCTTCTCTGGATGGGAGCAATCTCCACATGGAATGGTCCCTGCTTAGTCACTAAGCATCTCTTCATTTGGCTTTATTAGGAAACTATCTTTGGCATGATGTTTTTAGAGAAGATTTGAGGTGGGGGGGGTAGTAAAATTTGTCTTGGTTGCTTATACATTAAGAGAGAAGTAGAAGGGCTGGCATTGTGTTGTA